CTGTGTTTTACTTGCATCTATTTGAAAGAGTGAAAACACAAAACATTATTTTATTTTATGTGCTGGAACATGCAGAAAATAGATTTAAATGTTAAACATTCTTCCAGTCAGAGAATGTCGCAGTATATTTAATTTTGTGCTTGATGCATAAAGTTAAAAGATTAAAACTAACAAAACAAGTTTTTCATTTGATTACATTTTATATGATGGATTATGCAGAAAAAGTAGAACTGGGCTGAAAGGTCTGTTGCTCTATTACATATTCAGGTTGTTTATCATGGTTTTAAAATGTAACTAAGTAACTAATTACTTTTGAAAATAAGTAATCAGTAAAGTAACAGGATTGCTTTCTTGGAAAAGTAATCAGTAATTAGTAACTAATTACTTTTTCAAATAACTTGACCGACACTGCTCTCCATTCTTCCTCCAGACTCTAGGACCTCGGTTTCCAAATGAGATGCAAACTTTGCTCCCACCAGAAACTGGACTTTGTGCCACAGATTAACAGAGCAGTTCTTTTATTCTTTAGCCAGGTGATTCTGTTTGTTGTTCAGGATCAGCTTGACATGAGGAATAGAGCATTTGAAGCTCAACTCCAGGATCCGTCTGTGTGTTGCACTAACTCCAGCTTTAGTCACTCCTTGTGAAGGTCTCTCGCACTGTTGAACGGCCTTTTCCTAACAATCCTGTCCAGGCTGAGGTCATCCCTGCTGCTTGTGCACCGTTTTCTTCCACAGAACTTTCTATTAATGTGCTTTGATGCAGCACTTTGAGAACATCCAACCTCTTTTGCAATTACCTTTTGAGCTGTTCCCTCCTTATGGAGGCTGTAGTGATGGTTTTCTGCACAACTGTCAGGTCAGTAGTCTTCCCCATGAACCAGACTGAGAGACCATTTAAAGGCTCTTTGCAGGTGTTTTGGATTAATTAGCTGATGAGAGCGTGACACTTTGAACCTACGATATTGAACTTTTTCAAAATATTCAAATTTGCTGAGCTTTTGAATTTGAAGTTTTCATAAGCTATAAGCCATAATCATCAAAATTATAACAAATAAAGGCTTGAAATATCTCGCTTTGCATGTAATGAACCCAGAGCAGCATCTAGCAGTGTGGCTGTTATTTTACTATTACTGTATTATAGTATATATATTGCTATATGCAATACTGTTGAGCATGTATTTGCCTATGTAGAGCTTACAGCGAGGGGGTTTTCAACCACTGCAAACGTACTCCTATGCTGTAGTCCTCCACAATACCAACTGCATGGATGATGCTGTATGTCAGTTAATGCCAACTGGTTGACAAGTCAACAAGTACTAGCGCGATAATAGTTGACCAGGAATGAGACAAGTACAAAGACATTACACACTCGTTTATGCTGAGTTAGTATGAAACGTAGAGAGAGCTGTTTATGACCACAAACCAGCGATCTCTGTTTCACTTTCGGTCTGTACAACTTCACTTTTCTTCACAGATGGACGAAAAAAGGACATCCAATGGTTGTACCAGCTCTACCACATATTTGTGACACTGTTACCATGTGACAAAAACCCACTCTAAGAAACACGGGCAGCCCACAGTTGTCCATGAACTGCCAACATAATTTCCTCATAATAGAGAGAAAGAAAACTAAATCTGACGCAAAAATGTAAAAATCCAATGCAGTTCAAATTGAAAAAGCAAAACCATACCTCTTGTTGAAGATGATTCCCAGCAGCTGGGTGGCAAAAGCAATGGCCACAAAGAATAGCAGCGCTTTCCACATCCAAACTGGACCCAGCCGACCACAAACCAGCGATCGCAACATCCTGTGAGGAGGAGAGAAGGATGGATGAATGGAATGATGCACATAGTTGTGAGCCCAAAGCAGTCAGTGGAAGAGGAAGATACAGAAAAAGAAGGGGAAAAGTGTGTGGAAAGAGAGTAATACGGATGGATGGATGGATGGATGGATGGATGGATGGTAGATGGATGGATGGATGGATGGATGGATGGATGGATGGATGGATGGATGGACAATGGATGGATGGATGGATGGATGGATGGATGGATGGATGGTAGTCAGACGATTGGATGGATGGATGGACGATGGCCATCCATTCCATCCATCCATCCATCCATCCGTCCATCCATCCATCCATCCATCCATCCCCATCCACTACCATCCATCCATCCATCCATCCATCCATCCATCCGTATTACTCTCTTTCCACACACTTTTCCCCTTCTTTTTCTGTATCTTCCTCTTCCACTGACTGCTTTGGGCTCACAACTATGTGCATCATTCCATTCATCCATCCTTCTCTCCTCCTCACAGGATGTTGCGATCGCTGGTTTGTGGTCGGCTGGGTCCAGTTTGGATGTGGAAAGCGCTGCTATTCTTTGTGGCCATTGCTTTTGCCACCCAGCTGCTGGGAATCATCTTCAACAAGAGGTATGGTTTTGCTTTTTCAATTTGAACTGCATTGGATTTTTACATTTTTGCGTCAGATTTAGTTTTCTTTCTCTCTATTATGAGGAAATTATGTTGGCAGTTCATGGACAACTGTGGGCTGCCCGTGTTTCTTAGAGTGGGTTTTTGTCACATGGTAACAGTGTCACAAATATGTGGTAGAGCTGGTACAACCATTGGATGTCCTTTTTTCGTCCATCTGTGAAGAAAAGTGAAGTTGTACAGACCGAAAGTGAAACAGAGATCGCTGGTTTGTGGTCATAAACAGCTCTCTCTACGTTTCATACTAACTCAGCATAAACGAGTGTGTAATGTCTTTGTACTTGTCTCATTCCTGGTCAACTATTATCGCGCTAGTACTTGTTGACTTGTCAACCAGTTGGCATTAACTGACATACAGCATCATCCATGCAGTTGGTATTGTGGAGGACTACAGCATAGGAGTACGTTTGCAGTGGTTGAAAACCCCCTCGCTGTAAGCTCTACATAGGCAAATACATGCTCAACAGTATTGCATATAGCAATATATATACTATAATACAGTAATAGTAAAATAACAGCCACACTGCTAGATGCTGCTCTGGGTTCATTACATGCAAAGCGAGATATTTCAAGCCTTTATTTGTTATAATTTTGATGATTATGGCTTATAGCTTATGAAAACTTCAAATTCAAAAGCTCAGCAAATTTGAATATTTTGAAAAAGTTCAATATCGTAGGTTCAAAGTGTCACGCTCTCATCAGCTAATTAATCCAAAACACCTGCAAAGAGCCTTTAAATGGTCTCTCAGTCTGGTTCATGGGGAAGACTACTGACCTGACAGTTGTGCAGAAAACCATCACTACAGCCTCCATAAGGAGGGAACAGCTCAAAAGGTAATTGCAAAAGAGGTTGGATGTTCTCAAAGTGCTGCATCAAAGCACATTAATAGAAAGTTCTGTGGAAGAAAACGGTGCACAAGCAGCAGGGATGACCTCAGCCTGGACAGGATTGTTAGGAAAAGGCCGTTCAACAGTGCGAGAGACCTTCACAAGGAGTGACTAAAGCTGGAGTTAGTGCAACACACAGACGGATCCTGGAGTTGAGCTTCAAATGCTCTATTCCTCATGTCAAGCTGATCCTGAACAACAAACAGAATCACCTGGCTAAAGAATAAAAGAACTGCTCTGTTAATCTGTGGCACAAAGTCCAGTTTCTGGTGGGAGCAAAGTTTGCATCTCATTTGGAAACCGAGGTCCTAGAGTCTGGAGGAAGAATGGAGAGCAGTGTCGGTCAAGTTATTTGAAAAAGTAATTAGTTACTAATTACTGATTACTTCCCAAGAAAGTAATCCTGTACTTTACTGATTACTTATTTTCAAAAGTAATTAGTTACTTAGTTACTTTTTAAAAACATTGATACAACCTGAATAGAATAAAGCAATAGATCTTTCAGCCCAATTCTACTTTTTCTGCATAATCCATCATATAAAATGTAATCAAATGGAAAAACTTGTTTTGTTAGTTTTAATCTTTTAACTTTATGCATCAAGCAAACATTAAATAATGCGACATTCTCTGACTGGAAGAATGTTTAACATTTAAATCTATTTTCTGCATGTTCCAGCACATAAAATAAAATAATGTTTTCTGTTTTACACTCTTTCAAATAGATGCAAGTAAAACACAGCAGAAAATAAATAAATCAAAGACTCAGCAGCTCTTAAATCTATTGTCACCTGTTTAGCAGGAGTGGGGCGGGTGGAGGTTTGCCCACAGCGGTCATGTCAGTGGGAGGATCCGGGGGTTTCTCTGTGAATGTCACATTCCCGTGGCAGCGTGCTCGCTGCTCGCTCAGAGTTGAAGTTTAATTTTTCGCTGTAGAAAGAAGTTTTCTTCCCACGCAGAGTGAACAGCAGACGCTGATGTTTTTGTCACTTTTTACAGAATCAAACTCAAAGTAATGTGATTACTTCCACGCTTTAAACGCTGCATGGTCGTACTCTCTCCATTGTTGATCTGCAAACATCTGTTGCTGCCACGGACGTCGCACGGGCTTACGTCATTGTCATCAGACACTCTCAGAAACAAAATCATGACGGTTTAGTAAAACCTTGTTCAATGACCATGGGATAATTGTGCTTGATTGGCCAGCAAACTCACGTGACCTGAACGGGCTTTGCCAAGAGAAAGATGAGACACATGAGACCAAACAATGCAGAAGAGCCGAAGGCTGCTATTGAAGCATCCTGGTCTTCTATAACACGTCACTGCTGACGTGCCACGCTGCACTGAGGCAGTAATTCATGCAAAAGGGGCCCAAGACAAGTACTGAGTACATATGTATGGTTATACTATCCAGGGTTTTCATAAGTGTAAGCCATGATCATCATAATTATAACAAGTAAAGTCTTGAAATATCTCGCTCTGCATGTAATGAGTCTACATTAGTTTCACCTTTTAAGTAGAATTACTGAAAAATTTTTTGCACTATATTCTAATATTTCGAGTTTCACATGTACATGGTGAGACCCAGGGAAAAAAAAGTATTTTGATTTTGATTTTTTTCAGATAAATCAAGTGTTGGGATGGTAAAAAACACATTACAAAAACAAAATTGTTTTTAACTAATTTTATTTAAATTTTACAACATGTGCACTACAGTGCACAAGGGGAGTTCATTGATCACGAATGTGAAACTAACAACATTCAAGAGCTATTTAAGAAAATTAAATGCTCCACTGAAATTTTTGTAAGCAGGATATTAAAACTTATTTATATAACAATATCATAAAAATGTAGATCAGGGATCAACTTAGAAGTCACTGACACTTCACTAGCTGTAAGCCATTGGTTCAGGAACAAGTGATTGCACTGGGCTTTCTATTTCACAAAAGTCAATTCATTTATGATATCTGAGGAAGTACTGTGATTTTTTTATTTGGAGACACAAAGGAACATTTGGCACTTCCCACATCTCACATATGTTTTACTGTTGCACCCAACTATTCTACAACTGAAATGCCTTGGACTGTTAACCATTTCAGGCAAGTGGAGTGAACCATATTTTGTTACACTCTCATCTGGTTGGGGCTTCCTTTTCTTGATTTTTGGAGAGAACTCTTCATTACTGGTATTATTCAGGTCTTGTTCACATGTTTGTCCCTGGTTTCTCAGCCAAGAGGAGCTTGAACTCCAGATACTGTGAGTTCTTTTCACATTGAGATCATTGACAACTTTCAGCAAAGACGTGATCTTGTAGAAACAATCAGGTGTCATGGATTCAGCTATAATTGCGACTCTTGTTTTTTTACTTTACTGGAAAACATTTCTGCATTTTACCCATATTTTATTTTTAACTCAAAATCAAAAATTCCAGATTCTCCTACATGTTGGTTTTGGACCAGATAGGACGACAGATTTCAGGTGGCCCTGGATGGATGGATGGAAGAATCAAACACAGTAAGATAATGTCATTAAAGTGACAGGATAGGATTTGAAGAGGAGAAAAGGCATGAAGAGACGGGGACAGCTGGATGAGTCATAAAACAAAAACGACTTAAGTATCTTCGGGAAGGAAACCAGTCTGAAAATAGATCTTGTATTCCTTAGATTCCTATGGATGGATGGATGGATGGATGGATGGATGGATGGATGGAAGAATCAAACACAGTAAGATAATGTCATTAAAGTGACAGGATAGGATTTGAAGAGGAGAAAAGGCATGAAGAGACGGGGACAGCTGGATGAGTCATAAAACAAAAACGACTTAAGTATCTTCGGGAAGGAAACCAGTCTGAAAATAGATCTTGTATTCCTTAGATTCCTTAGGTACTGTTGTCCGGTTCATTCTTATAACAGAAGATGAATAAACTCAAAGCATACTTTTAACCAAAATTTAAATACTAATCAGTTAAAGGTTCAAGTTAATTTTACATAGCACCATGGACTTTTCCTTGGCTAGGAAAGGCTGCCACTCACCATTGAACAGAGTTTTTTATAATGTGGCACAAACAAGGCATGAATGTGATTGGTTTGAAAAAGTTGGGGAGGGGTCACAGTTTAAACCTGGCCTCCCTACTGGTCTTTGGTCTGGTGTCTGGCTCATGTTTCCCCTTACACTTTGTGCTTGTCTCTGTAATGAGAAGAAAGAGGACTCCTCTCTACTTTACCATGGCAACCGCCTCTCTTCTCGAGTCAGTCCACTGGAGAGTGAAACTCTTGACACCTTGAAATTTTTGTACCGTGCTGCACCATCTCCAATGAATTCATTCCCCAAAAATTCCTAAGGGGGGACGGGGGGGTCCTCCCTGTTTATGCTGTGTTTTAGTTAGTATCCGTGTACCAGTCTGCCTCTGATACCAGTGTCTTGTATTTTTCCTGTGGGTTTATATGTATGGGTGTGGCATTTTCTTACAACACTCTATTCTATGATACATATTTGTGTAGTAATGTTAGAACAAATTATGAGGTAATTGTGAAACCTAAAATAATGGGGTGTATATGTAATAAAGA